TTTTATTGAGGGAAGGAGGGCAAATCCAGGAAATTACATGCAGATACCGACTTTAATAGGATGTAGCAGTTATGGAAGTCAAGCCCTCAGAAGTTAGGAAATATAAGAATCACAGTTCCCTAGGTAACCTTAATGTTTGCATGAGTTATGCTGCATCTTTAATTACACAGCCACATACTGTTGTGATGAGCAGCTATTCAATAATTTTGCATCCTCTCTGAACAGTATGTGGCCCCAGGCTTTACTCAGTGAGTGCTATTCAGTCTGTTTCAGTTTTAGTTTCAGTTAATGGCTGCCCACTTGTTTAGATGGATTGGCAGTACCGTGTATTGTATATAAATAATACAGCTGCTTCATGACGGTGCAGGGAACAGAGCTGCTGAGGTGCCCTCAAGATTCAGGGGTGTCCAGCGCATTCGCTCCCCTCCTATAACAGGTCAAACCCAGTATCCTGGTTACTAGTTCCTATTTTTATTGCTCAAGTGTGTGTAGCAGCATGGAAGACTTGTTTTGGGAAGAGGGTCCTTTTCTTGTCTGCTTACAGAACTTCAGGATATAAAGTGATAATGGAAACTATTATTTTGCTTTTGGCAAGGTTTTCTTTTAAGATAACGCAAGGGAAATAGAATCCTGCAAAGAAACAATAGCAGTGTGATGGTGCTAGAGTGCTGGCTTTTCCTTTTGTAGTGGCACAAGTCAGAGGTGTGATGAGGAAATACTTAAAGGAGCATTAGAAAATACCTTTGTGGAAAACCGGAAGGAGCTTCTTTTGAGAGTGATGTGTGGAAGTCAAGAAAGTGCTTGACTGAAATAGCATAAAGGTGGTTATATAGCGATGTCCATATGGAGAGATGGGAGTAAAGAGTAAAGAATTTGATACTCAGTATGAGGTGATGGGTAGAGGAGAAAAACCAAGAACACCTGCCTTGAAAAGAGTCATAAAATTGTTCATGTTTGATGTGAGAGGAAAGGGATGTCCAGTGAACTGCAGTAGAGAGAGCAGAGACCCTGGCCAAAGGTGCTAGCCAGAAAAATGGCCTTTGTCTTCTAGATGGAGGTGGGTGAGGAAAGACCAAAATACAGCTAAACGAGAGCCTTGATCTTCCAAAGGTCAGTATAGGTGCCCAGTGTAGTAGCACCTGTGCCTCCATCAAAAATTTCACAAATCCAGCTTCTACACACATGGTATAATAAGCATAACTGCATAATCTATGATGTTAGCAGAATCTGCCTGCCTGCACATGCTGATATGGGCACACTCCCATCTTTCAGAGCAAACCATGCAGCTACAGGTACCTCCTGCCAGCTAACGTACTTCAGACACTGGAGTGTGACCAGCCCTCTCTCTGGGTAGGGATCCCAATAGCTGGAAGCAACCTGGACAGAGTCCTGTGAGGAATTTGTAGCCTAAGTGTCCCTATATGTGTTGCATCCCTCAGTACCCTTGGAGCTAGGGAACTTGCAACACATCCAAGTGGGAGTTATGAGCAGCAGCTACAGCTGTGGTCTTTCTTCTTTCCTGAGCAGGGATGTTTAGTACTTACAGACAAGTTCATCCTGCTCTGCCATAAATTTTGAGATCTCACGTCACCTCCTAGGAGGAGGGAAAAGTCCCAATCTGGTCTTCCTGCTCCTGAGACCCCTCATTAGTCTGAACTTCAACTAGAAGGTGGATCCCATTTCTCAGCTCAGTTTCCTGAGTGGCTCCTGCCAGCAAACTTGCTAGCTAAGAGCTTTGAGCCAAGCCACTAACATCCTTCAGTCACACTGGTAGTATAGTTACACCTTTGCTCTAAATGGCTCAAACAGGGAGTAGGAGTCAGAGCTGATGAAAATAAAACACAAACACATGATAGATTTCAGGAGGGCTTCCAAAAGTAGTACTGCATAGTCGACACAAATACCACCACAGTATAGTCTGGTTTAAGCTGCAGGGTGAACCAGGCCACTGAGCCTTTGGCATCCAGCTCAGCCAGCTGTTCTATGGAGGACAGGGAGAGACCTATTCATCTAGGTAGTGATTCAGAGCTCTTGGGTGAGGCTGTCTTTGGAGGGGCTCATGAAGCAAGTGCCTGAAATGCTGGGGTGTGAATAAGCCTGAGCTCCCTAACACGGCTGATGCACTGGAGCAAACATTGGGCAGGACTCTACCCAGCTTTCAAAGCACTTTTCATTGGGGTGGCATGGTCATGTTTTCTGTAGTCACTGTTTTGCAGACTGGGGACAGAGGAGAGGAAGTGTAAAGAACAGTCAAGAAGTCAACAGAAGAGGGGTATTCCCTGCTTCCTGCCCTCTCTCTGAGTGTCCAAGAGCCCTGTCTCTTGCTAAGATTTTTTTTTAAGCTGTTGGACTGGAGCCCCTGCTCCTGGCGTGGTCGCCCATTTCTCCTCCCCAGCTGCGCGGCCCCAGCCTTCCCCGGCTCCCAGCAGCCCTGGCCGGCAGCCACTAGCACTCATTGCAAGCCTGCTCATGAGGGAATTTACCTAGAAAATTCAAACAACAACAAAAAAAGGGGCTAAGCGTGCACATATACTGACTCTCCGGCTACCAAGCAAGTGGTCTAGTCTTCCTGCAAATGCAGTCCTTAATATAAGGAAGCATTCTTTGCCCTTTCAAACTGAGGGAGGAAAACCCCTGCTTGTCATGGTGCCTGTCACTGTCTTTTGAGGTTTGAACCATCACAGTTCAGAATGATTCTGACAGATCACTGAGGTGATGGTAGAAATAAGCTGCTTTTTACCTTCACTTCAATTATTTGTCAAAAAAATATAAGAAAGTCAGTGGCATTTCAGAGGCTTCATTAATTTGTGTCCTTATTTTCTCTTGCACATTGATGGAAATTTCCTCTGGCTACACGTTTAAGAGAAGCCTGCAAAGTGCTTGAGGGATCTGCACTTGAATCCTTTTCATCTCCAGCCATCATTAAGTGGGTCTTTGCTGCAGGCTGGTGGAGTCAGAGGAGAGGCACTGCAACCTTCTTAAAATATAACTACATTTAATAATAACAAAGGAAGTATAAACTCACCAGCCTGTTCAGTTGCTTTTTATAGCAATGTTCCCCCATTTCAAGCCTGCATCAGTGTAAAAGTGCCACCCTTAAATACATTTATTCTTTTTCTGCTGGGAGTCACGTTTTCCAAGGAGGATCTCAGTTGCCAGTGCTTGATGTAACAGCAACTCAAAGCTGCCAGGAACAGAGGCGAGGTATTATTTTGAATTAAAAAATATATATTAAAAAAAGAAAACAAAAATCCAGTTGAGGTGTTTCCTTTCATATGTGAGTAGTTTGAAGGTTTTGCCTTTTGAAAAAGAATGCAATACTGAGAGTGCAGAAAATGTGCACCCATCCAATGTTTCACCTAATTAGCAGGAAAAAAAATATCTAGGCCAAGCCCAGAGCCACAGGAAATGAATCTCGTGTAGACCGAGATCCTGTGGGCTAACTATTTGTCCTGAACCTTTGAAGGGGAAAAAAAAGGCATTGCAGCATCTGTCAGGTGGGTAGATATGTGTACAATTCAGCATGGAAGAGGGCAGTTTTGTGCCTTTAGTCTGAGTTTGCTGAATTTAATTCTCTTCCTTGCTACAGATCCCTGTTATTAACTTGGGAAACAACTTTTTCCATTTGTGCCACAGCTCCTGACCTGTGATGCAAAGCCACATCTCAGGGCTCTTTGTAGGATTAGTTTTGTTTTCAAGAAGGTGCCCTGAATGAAATGCCAGGACAGTCAGGACAGATGAATTACAGAGTGCAGTAGCTCAGCTGAAAGACAGAAGAAGTTCTGATACCCAAGTACAGATTATTCTTCCACAAAATCAGCCTTGCTTTTGTGACAAAACAAGGTGTAGTGCAGGCACTACAAGCACCCAGCACTAAGTACTGTCCATATATAAAAAGGGATGATGTTTGTCTTTGAGTCACCTCTGAAAAACCCTTTCAAAAAAATAAAAAAGAGGAAAAAGAAGGAATACAAACTCTCCACCAGGGGCTTCAAGAAGAGAGAAGTTAGCATGGAAATCTCAGGACATATTGCTTCTTGTGTTCTGCAGCACTTGGCTTAGGGTGGTAAATGAAGTGTTCCAGTCCCTTTCCTAGGCCCAGCCTGGTGCCATAAAGTGCCTCTGCGGAGGAGCTCGCATATCCTTGGTGATAGCGAGCACTGTGTTAGAGCAGGCAGCATACCTGGGTTTGCAGGAGGAGAGCTAGGACTGGAAATAAGATCTCAAAGGCAATCAGTTATTTACATAAAGGGGACACTTACAGAAAAAGAAATAGTTGTACAAACCTTTGAGAGTTTTGGGATTTTTTCAATCATTAATTTCAATAATCAGTTTAGACTGATGAAAACCTTCTGCCTGCACCAGTGAGCATCGCGAGCCTAATGCAAGCCTGGAGATAGTGCTGGGGGATACAGCAGGATGCAAATACTTTTCCAGCCCATGCAAGCGCTTGCATTTTTCACAGACCATTGAAAGAAGGTCAGTCACCGTCAGTTTAGTTCAATCCTTCTGCATGGCATAAGGAAGAGAGGGTAAATGACTGGAGCCAGGAGGCTTGAGGTGATTTTGTCCATTATGGATATTCCGAGAGTACTTCATACTCAGGGTGGTTGGTGTCGGTTTCGGGAGGCATAAGTGAAGGAGTTTGTCTTTGTTGTGGAATGCAAATGGTGGCATAGTTCAAGTCTGCAAGGCAGCAGAACTGCTTTTACTGGAAAGAAAATATTCCCAAGCTGCTTCAGAGGAAGCAGAAGTAAAACAGACCACCAGCAGGTTTTTATCACCTAGTGATGGAGATTTTGTTGGACACATGAGGAGCAGGGGGTAGACTCCCTGGCTGAGCAGAGGTATTGGAATGAGCCAAAGGTGATCAGCATTAAGAGCCCCAAGGAATGACCTGCTTAACTTGATGAGGGAGCAGTGCCCCCCTACCCTTGTGTTTGCTATACTGAGTGCCTCTGAAATGCTGATATTTCTAGCATCTTCTTTTGTATTTGCAGAACATCATCAAGAAAGTGATCGGACAAAAATTTGTATACAAGTTTGTCTCCTTTCCTGAGATTTTAAAAATGGATCCACATGCTGTGGAAATCAGCAGAGAGAGCCTTTTGCTGCAGGACAGCGACTGTAAGATGCCTTCTGAGAGCAGGGATCAGCACAAACACAGCTTGTCAGCACTGAAAAGCACGAGCCGTAATGAATATATCCACTCTGGCCTGTACTCCTCTTTCACTATCAACTCTCTGCAGAACCAGCCAGACCCTTACAAGCCAATCAAAACAGAAAAACTGGAGGAGAAGTCAGAAGGAAACATACCAGTCGAAGAAGTTCGGACTGTTATCAGATTTGTGACAAACAAAACAGACAAACAAGTTACGAGGCCTGTGGTGTCATTGCCTTCTACTTCTGAAACAGCAGCTGCCTCTGCTTTCCTCAGCTCTTCAGTATCAGCTAAAATATCTTCCTTAATGCTACCCAACAGTGCCAGCATTTCATCTCCATCATCATCTTCCTCCAGGTCGCCTTCTCTGTCTCCCACCTCACCCCTCCCTACAGAACACAGGAGCTTCTTCCTTGAGTCCAGTTGCCATGACTCAGATTCCCTTGAGCCTCTGAACCTCTCCTCAGGCTCCAAGGCAAAATCTTCATCTCTTCCCCCAAAGGCTAAAAAACCCAAAGGCTTGGAAATTTCTGCCCCACCTATGGTTCTCTCCAGCACCGACATTGGTTCCATCGCCCTCAACAGCCCTGCGCTTCCTTCGGGATCCCTGACTCCAGCTTTCTTCACTGCACAGGTAAGACCTGCTTGTCTCCAGGCATTCACTCCAAGTGGCCAAGAGTGTTAGCTCTATTGGTCTGTCATCATCTGATGGGAAAAAAAAACATATAGGAAAGAGTGAAACACAGCAGTGGTCTGAACAAGGGGTGGAAAGTAGGTTCCTCCTGGGGTTTGTTCCTACATGAGCGTGGGAAAAGCCATCACGGTTGATAGACTGCCTGAAAGGCTAAGGAGATGGGGAACCGTTAGTGAATTGTTTATCAGTTCAAACCAGCCTCCAGGTTTACAAAACAAACAGGAAAAAGCCACAAAGAAAACCACAGGGGTTTTGTAGATCGCAACTTGAGCATGTGCATTATGGGATGCTTGGTTAGATTCCTCTACTAGATGTTGTATCCATTCAAACAGTGTGACCTTTTCGTTAATTTTTGAATACGGAGCAAATGAAGTGGTGTCTTAGACAGGCTCTGAAGCCAGTTTCGATTTCCAAAGTTGTGCAGATCCACAGAGTACTTGCCAGAGCTTCTTTTCAGCACAGACCTACTAAATAACCAGAAGATTATTTGTTCTTTTTAATCACTTATTTCTGGTAATGTCAAGAGCAAGTTCTCATTTTCATGCCAGTCTATGAAAAAAAAATCTAGGAGTTCAGAGCAGAAGAGGAAAATCACATAGATATGACTCAGTGCATTCATTGGTGAGTTTTGTCTTACAGTACCACTGCAAAATTAGACAAAAAATTCCAAGAGTAAAATTATCCCAATTGAGGAACACCCCTTAAGATCCCCAGCCCTAAAATAACGATGCAAATACTAGCATTGAATGTAACAAACCAAACAGCAAATAAATAAATACAAAGGTGTCTTACAAGCCATCACTCACTTCAGGCTGTCTAGGAGACATATTATATGCAGAATCCCATTACCTCATTACCCAGCACCCCTCGGGGGTGTTGGAGGTGTTTGGTGCAGGCAACGTCATGTGCCCGTGTGGCAGAAGCGAGAGCGTCAGCAAGTACTCTCAGCCAGCACAGCACTTGCTCTTATTTTCAGCTGGCTGCAGAGCAAGTTTGTGCAGTTCAGGCTCACCTGTAAACCACCAAGATACAAAGTTGTGTCACCAAGAAAGGCTGTCACCTGTAATTTTTGACATCATAAAGCCTTTAAGTGAAGTTACATTTGGCAGGAAGAACAGAAGTCTGGCAAACCAAAATTGAGGTGCATTGACAAACTCATATAACCTCTAACTGTGGTATAACCACAGTATTTTGCCTGTAGGGAGAAAATCTGACAAATCATATCAGATGCCAACCAGACACAATGCAGCATGAATTATTACAAACCCACTTTAATCTACTGCTGCCCCAAAACACAGTATGAACAGAGATTTATTTCCTCATTTTGTAATTATATCTTTAAACATTCAATTTCCCCATTCATCTATAAACTAGTGTACTTACTGCCCTGAAAGATGTAGAAGGGAATTAGGTAGAGGATTGTGGTGCTCCTTCAATGGGATGACTGCTTAGGCCATGATGACTGTAATACCATGATGCAAGATAACAAGGATAATTTAGACTGGATCTGCTGTTCATCCCATTATCCAAGGAAGAACATGCATCATATCTCAAACATTTTCTGGTTTATCAGATCCTAGTAGGATACACTTGCTGCCATGGGGCAAGTGGAGAACAGGACGTCTGCTCCAGTAGTAATGTAGGTTCAGAGAAGGTCCTGTGGCCTGAGAGGGTATTTCAGATGGCTTTCTACTGCACCTGCTAGTCCTGAGGAATACTCTAGGGTGGAGCCCTGTGAGCACAATCAATTTCAGAACAAAAAAATAGGTTTGAGGGTGTCAGAGCATACAGTACCTTACTTTGGTAGAGAAATGTTAGCTTTCCATTTGGTTAGCTTCAAAGAGAGATATGTAGGTTTTGTTCAGCACTTGCTTCCTTTGCAGATTACTTATACTTGTTACTTTTGTTGTCTCTCCCTTGGCCAATGTGGATATATAATTTTGACTCACACTCTTTCTTCAGGCCTCTGCTTTAGTATTTGTTACATTTACAGCACGCCATTTCCTTAGGGGCAAAGTAGTGTGCCTGCAGCCAGCTCCGTTTTGTATCCACAGACACCACCCAGGCTCCAGCACATGCCTAATGATGTGGGAAGTAATATATGTGTGACAGCACTTGTCTGTTATCTAATAGCTAAAAGTGACAAGATTGTACTTACACACATTGTTTGTCAGAAGTCAGGAGCCATGAGCATCATCACTTAACATAATCCTCTCTGTGCAATGAATTATTTCTATTTAAACTGTTCCTATACTTAGGTTATAATGACATTTTTAAATAGGAACTTCCCAATGGGTTCCATATCTACTACCAGATGTACAGCTGCATGAGGGCAGAAAATGAAGTGACACATCAATTTCCACATGTAATTTAGGGATAGCCTGTCCTGTGTTATTTACACTTATGTTTCCTCTGGTGGTTTTGATGATTGGCTGATGGTGATACTGAGAACAAGCCTGTGAGGCTCTGTGCTCTTTTTGCATTAAATATTAAATGGATTTGGAGGCCTGCTTTGGCTGGCTCTTGGCTCTGGCAGAACTTGCAGACACTAGTGCTCTCCTCATCAGAGGACATGAGCTGTTGCTTAGCACTGCTGTTAGGCATGTTAGCATGCTTCCAGAGATGAACCGAGGGCAACTAAGTTTCAAATATCTCTCTCTGAAGACCTTCTCTGGCTGTATCTAGGTAGGAATAAACATCTCCAACTTTTCCTCATTATTTTCAAAAGACCCTCTCAAGAACAGCATTTTCAGTTCTGATTATCTGCAGTTTCTTAGAGCAAAAGTAAAGAACCGAGGCTGTTCACTGGAGCTCTTGGTACTGTGTCCTTAGTTGAATGTTGATGGGCTTTGCTGCTTACATCTCTGGTTTTAAGGCTAGTAGGCTCTTCTGTAAGTAGATCTGAGTATTTATCCTGACCTAATTCAGTGTGTTGTCAGTCCCGTAAATCTCCATCAATAGCTGCCTGCAATTCAGCACAGGAAAGGGGCTCTTGCTGGTGCTGCTGATTTCCTGCCCCATGAAAGCACCACGGTCATGGGAAGAGAATGACTGTAAGGGGGATGTTCACAGGTGCCTGCTTGTCAAGGTTGTTTTTTCAGGTATCTTGACAGGAGCTGTGACTTGGTGAGATCAAGTTGGAAGTCTTCTCCTTTCCAAGCCTCCACCCACTCTTTGCCCCTTTAGTTGTCATGCAAATATATCCCAACCCTGACTTCACTGGTACTCCTGTGACCACTACACCTGCTGATTTACTGCATCAACACCTTTTGCTTTCCCAGTGATACCACAGGTTTATTACTCCTTGGGACATAAACTGTGGTTTCTTCCATGGGATTTGGTGTTTCTGATCCACCTTCTTCAGCACAAGGAAGGTGGCAGTGTCCTTTCCCTGCATACATTTCTCCACTAACCCTGCTTCTTCTGAGATTCCTTAGAGAAACCATCCCTTTGTATTAAACTGCCTTTCAGACACCTGAATCACTAGAAGGGCTTTAATGTTTGCTGTTCCTTGTCTATCCCTTCTGCTACTGTTAAACTAATTGTTTGACCCTGTTATGAATTCCACTGCAAACACGTCACAGCAGGTCTGTATTCCTGTGCGTTTGCACAGAGCCTCAAACACCACAGCTGATCCCTCAGGTGCTGCTATGCAAATAATGTCTGTCATATTTGAAAATCCACATGACCTGTGGTGCTGACTCACTGCAGAGTCCTGGTAACGGGGTATGATGGTCCTTGGTGTGAGCAGCTGTTAAGTGAGACCCCCAGTTGCAATTGCCACATGTGGGAGTTTATATTTCTGTCCTGGTGGGAAGCTAGCAGGTACTAGAATGCATGGTGTGCTGGTTACTATGGGAAATAATCCCTATCTTCTGTCTTGTCTTCTATGTACATATTTTAAAGTCTGGAAAAATGGGTGTCCCAGTTCAGCAGAGCACTTGTCCTACAGAGCAAAGCACATGCTTATTTGCTAAGTGTGTACTCAAATCCATTAAGTGCTTTGGTAAATAGGACTGATTTTGATAATTGGCATCAAGATTACTGGTGAGATTAACTCATTACACCAAATACTTTTTTCAAAACTGTCACATCACTTCCATGTTCTATTTTGGAATGATAGAAGTTACTCTGTGTACAGAATAATTTGAGTGATTCTTCATTTGAATCAAGATTTGCACGTGCTTTACCTCCCCTCCAATTGTGCTTAGAAATGCTGAGTGTATTCCCAGCAATTCTTGGGCACCATAGCACTGGAATGAGACACCTATGAGTTGGGAAAAGCTTTGGATTCTTAGTTCTTGCTGCTTTGGGTTTTTTCGAGAAGCTGCAGTCAGGTCAAGCAATTGCTGCCCTTCAAAAGGTAAAGACTGACTCTGAAAAAGCCTAGGCAGAGTTGGCAGGCATTGGGGCACACATGGTATTATTCTACACAGCTGCATGAGTGTGGTTCACATAAACAATAACTGCTTCTCCTTAAGCAAACAGAAATTAAATCAATTTGCATATAAAGGATTATTACATGTGCAGGTATCCAGTATTGATGAGACAGGACACGGGGCTGGATGGGCAGCTGCTGCTGACCATGCTGTATGTCTGAATTAACTGGGAAATAGAGCCAGCAGGTGATGTGTAAGACTGTAGGGGTGGTGACTGCTGGATGGAGCTGTAACTCCTGAGCCATGTGTCATGGGGTCTTTTTTTGTCTTGCAGACCCCCAATGGATTATTGCTGACCCCCAGCCCGCTGCTGTCTAGCATTCATTTCTGGAGCAGCCTCAGTCCTGTTGCTCCTCTGAGTCCTGCCAGGCTGCAGGGACCAAACACTCTCTTCCAGGTAGGTCTTTCCAATGCACAGGTTTCATTGCTAAAGGTGCACATGTGGAAGAGACATCAGGGGAACAACTCCTCACACTGGTCTGGAGCTTTTCAAACAGATTAAGAAAATACAGGAGTTAACAGGCACTTTTATGGAGAGGCCTGCCTACTTACCTGTACCTTCTTTAAATCCTTGGCGGCACAGTCAGAACCTACAGGGCAGTGTCCACTGCAGCAAGCACACACATGCTGTGTGAGGGAAACAGAAATAAATGCTGGACCCCAGTAAGAGAAGGTAACTGAGCTCTCAGAGCTTCTGGAAGAGAGTGAAAACCAGTCAGGGACCAGCCAGGAGAGGGGTGGAACACAGCTCTGGGAAAACCAAGAGCAGTTTGGGTCTCACACAGTAAGGTGGGTGTAGGTTTATCCTCTTGTCTTAATTAGCTACTTCTCACTCTAGAAAGACATATTTGTATTTACAGTAAGGGCACTCTGAACCTGAAGGCTTCATTTCCAGTTCCTTTGCAAATTATCCATGTGTCCTCAACCAAGGACATACTGCTGAGCATGACCTCTCTGTAACAGCAAAAAGGCAGCTTTGTGTCCACTCTCTCATGAGTATTGGCAGAGTAAACATCTCAAAAGTTATTGAGTAAACCATGATGGCCACAGCACTCAGCTGCAGCATCTGCTTGAGGCTTAGGAAGAAGATGGTGGGGATGATATTAGCAGTTCCAGCTGTAGCTGCTGCAAAACAGCCGATTCATTACGTCACAGAAGAAATTATGCTGTTCTGCTGATTGGCAAGAAGCACAGGAACCCAGTGGCCATCTGTGCAGCTGAAGAATGCAGGGTCACCCCTGGAATCAACACCTCGACTGCTGTGGAGGGCCAGCACTTACAGAGGAGGAGGATACTGCTAGACAGGGACTCTGTGTTAGTCTCTGAACCTTCAGGGAAACTGACTGCCTGAATCCAAGGCTGGGCTTCAGCTCAAGTGCTCTGCTCAGATACCATCTGCACTGGGGGAGTAAACCTTTCTGCCTCCAGTGGGACAGCTGCACATGGAGCTCAGGGCTCCTTATTTGTGTTTCAGATAAACTCAGTAATTTGTATTGGACCTTAGTTTTGCACACATGATTAAATCAACCAGACAGTTCATCTGAGAGAGAAGTGCCTGCGCCAAGGCCTGGAATGAGCTTGGACAGCTATGGATACACACTGGCCATCTCCTGTGGGAACTGAAAGTGAGGAGTGGCCTTGGCTTTCCCTTCTGAGAGACCCCAAGGGCCTTACAAACGATGTTTGATTCAGGCAAAGGCCACAAGGAGAGGTTGTAGAGCACAAAGATTTATTTAGCAGCAAATTGGAAATGAAAAACACAGCCTGAAGCCCAGCCAGCCCCAGTGAGAACTGGTGGGTCAGCAGTGTGGGTGTCAAGGCAGAGCTCTCCTCAGACTCTTTGCAAAGCCAGCCCACACTCCATGCATCTAGGCAGGGAAGAGCTTGTAATCAAGGTCTGTGTTTTAATGAATCTTGGCAGAAGTCAGGGAAACATTTCCTGAAATTTGGTTTGGTTAAAAGAGAGGCATCAGGCAGTCCTGGCCACACCAGAAGCATGGTGCCAGTCCCTCCTCTGCAGCACATGCTGCTGAGCCTGTGCTGCTCTCTGCCTGATTTTCAACAGAATGGTGGAAGACAGGTATCATTAACTGACATCTTAGTGGAAGAGTAAACTTGTTATGAGCAGATTATGTGCATGTGTAGGGAGTGATTACACCAGAGTTGGCTGTTGAAGGACTGATCTTCCAAGAGGTAAAAATACACCATATGCTTGAAGGTGAGAGCTCTGTTGTTCAGCTCTGCCTCTCTCAAGCTCATGGAGCTGGGCCTTGAGGCCAGATCAGTATTTACCACTGGGATAATTCTCTCCTCATGCTGCAGCAATTTTATTCCACCTACTTGCTTTTTCTCAGGTCAGATGTTAAGAACTAATCAATAAATATCACTGCAGGCAAGTTACAGTCAGGATGCTGTCATGAACTGGGAATATACAGTTTCTGTATTGAATAAGTTTTTTTTTGCATGGTATTTCAGAAGTAGCAGATTAATATAAATAATTTATTCTGCTTCACATGCTGAGTGATTTGGTGTAGCTGTAGTTTCTTAGTGAATACAGAGAGAAATTGTAATTACTTGGGAGTAATTTTCCCCATGCTTTGTATTCCCAATTGTATTTTTTCTGCCCTAAATTTACATCTTGACTTTCACTTTTGCAAAGGTCTTTCTGCATAGTGTTAAAGAAGGGCAGACAAAAAGGATATATTGTAATTAATAGACTGTAGGCTGAAAAACATTTTTGGAAACAGAATGGATGGCAAAGATTTCTCTACAGTGTTCGCTTTCCCAGGGCAATGATAAATGTATTATGTGAACTTTTATATAAAATATAGCCAATAATAGATTTCTATATCCCTGTATATTTACAAATTATTCATGTTTTGTCCTCTATTTTGCATTCCTAATGGCTGATACAGGCATTTGGGATATATATCTTATTGTATAGACATCACAAGCCTTGAAACCATCTGGAGCCAGTTGCTAATGCTAAATCCATGTGCTTCTGGTCTGAATGCTTTGAGACAAAGAGTAATTTTTACCTTTTGGCCTCTTACAGTTTCCAACTCTGCTAAATGGTCACATACCAGTGCCACTCCCCAGTCTGGACAGAGCCTCTTCACCAGTACTGCTTTCTCCAAATGCTCAGAAATCCTGATGATGCCTCATCATGCCAAGGATGTACTGGTGGATTTAACACTTCATTCCTATGGGCTAGTTTTTCCTGTGTTATGAGAAGGACATTGTGAAACCCTTTATTACTTCGGTTTGCACTTTTCATTACATGGATAATCTACTTTTATTATGTTAGCATTTTTCAACAGTGTTTATATATAAAAGTATATATAAATCTGTTATGCATTAAATGAATTATAATTTTTTATATCATAGCTCTCAAGTGTTGAACACTTCTGTTGTTGAAGTCCTTTTCTTAATGTTTTGCAACAATGTATCTAATAGGGATGTGAAGCTTCTTTTTAATCCCTTTTTCTGCATATTATGCATTGTGCTTGTGTAAACTATAACCGGCTGTGCCTTCTTTTGCATAAAGTCATGTAAATGATTTATATATTTTCTAGTATTAAGATAAAAAGTTGAAAGAAAAAAAATAGTATTGAACAGCCCTATGATAGTATTTCAGTATTTTCTCCACGGATAGGCCATATGATGCAGTGTATTAATGTAACTTTGTATTAAGTGCTTTCAAATTGTATAAAAATAGCCTTATAATTTTTGTTTGCTGAAGAAATGAAAAACGTAATCCATGTTACAGTCAGGAGATGTAGTTAGGAGTAACAAAGTCACACTTATGCCCAGGTTCTTCTGGCGAGTTGCAACAGGGAAGAACTGGGCTGTGTATGTTTGAGACATTTCCAGCATTTGAGAATACTTCTGTAGAAAAGGAGACATTGCTCAAAATTTATTTGGCCTATACTTCTTATGAACTGTCAACAGTACAGCTGGAAAGACTGCAGGTAACCTCTGTCCTCCTAGGGAATGAGGATCATTCCTGACAGAGAATTTCCAGGTGCTTTGTTCAGCCCTGCCAAGTGCCTTCTACTACTTACCTGAAAGATTATTGTAGCTACTCAAGCTCAGAAGGTCACATTTCCCCTTCCCCCAAAGCTGGAAAAGTTACAGGTCTGTAAATTAATGCCTGGTCCTTGCAAAGAGGCAGAGACTGTACATGCGGGATGTTTATGTATAAACAGCTGAATTCTGGATGAAAAAACAGCACTGTGTTACTATATATTTGCAACTTGAACTTTCTGGATATGTTCTCTGCCTTGAGGTGATGGCTTAGTCATCTAAATGTCAGGTTAGGATTAGGCCAGACTCCCTGGCACCACAGATTCTAATCTTGGCAGGGCTGATGCAAATCTTCATTTTTCTGAGGTGGCTAAATTGGGTTGAATGCAGCTTTACCATGTAGGTTTTTTAGATGAGACCTTCAAAAACCAAACCAAAATCAGAATCCTGTTTGCGACAGGTCATTAGAGCCTCTACTTTGCTTTCTGGCCAAAAGACCGTTCTTTGAAATGTATGCAGTGAGTTGTCTGCTGATTTTCTGCTTGGATGCATTTCAGTGATGATGTGTGTAGTTAATTGTAAAGTGCTTTTGGATCCTTCAACCTGAAAGGTGCTAAATAAACATTTTATTAATGCAGTTCTGATGTTGAAAAGCCATTTTTGGGGCAGAGGTGGTCTGACAAAAGACAGCAAGAATTTTCCTCAGGCGCCTGGATTGCACAATCAAAAATGACTCCTCAGTTCCACTTGCAGTAATTAACAAGATAAAGTTGCTGTATCTCTATGAAGTACCAGCTGATAAACAGAGCAATTAGATGCAAGACATGAGGAGAATGGACGAAATGCTTGGGAAGTCATTTGCTCCATTCAGCAAATGGTGCAGTTTTAAGAGCTCCAAGCTGCACCACCCCACTGGGTCAAAACCAGAAGATGAACTGACACTAAATTTATGAGTGAGGGCAAATTTCATACAAAGGGAAATCAGAATAGGTTGGAAGAAAGGGCAGATGGGATTGACTAGGCTAGTGGAGATAAATCACAAGGGCTCACAGATCAAACATTTCTCTTCCAATGCATTCCTCCCAGGTACATGGAATATTTTTCAATAACTAAGCTACAGGGAGGCAAATATTTCACACTCTAAAGCCAACTCTTCCCTCATTTTTAAAGAAGCATACATACCTACTTATACCTATAAGGCATGAGCAGCAAATAGAGTTCCACCTTGTACCAGCCCGTACAGCCAACGGGGGAACACAGCATAGAGATGGAGTGTTTCTCACTGTGAGTTCAAAAAGTGAAGGCAGGTACTCCTGAAAACTTAAATATCGAATATCACACTACATAAAACCCAGATAAAGATGACAGTAGGGAGTATGTGACAGAGAAGAGATTCTTAAAAGAAAAATCATCAGAGATTCTTAAAAGAAAAATCATCCAGATTCTCATGATTTTATTTCTTCCAAAGTTTTACTATTAAGAAGGCAGATTCTTTTCTTTTCAAAAGTCTCAACACACCTACACCTTCCCTCCTACTGAGTGACTGTGAATTTCTTTTAAATATAAGAGGAAACAGCTGTTCTGGGAAAAAAAATCCTATTTCAACGAATTATTTTAAAAGGATCTGAGAGAATCCAGTAAAACTTAATGGAAGACACACAGCAACTGGGAAACAGCGCTGTCTTCTTCTCTATTCTTTGAGAAAATAAAAATAGCAAAAGAACACATCTTTTGCTAATTGACTTTTCAATTAAAAAAACAGGTTATCAAAATGAAATCTGCCTTCTAAACTGGTCAATAATGTGGAACAAAAATTTTTCCAATTGGGAAGAATTTATACAAATGAAGTCCAGCCTCTCAAGTCTAACACTTACATAAAACACTAGATGGTTATGCCTTACGCTTTGAAGAAAAAACTCTCTTGGTAATCTTGTACTGAATTTTATTAATGGATATCTTTTTAACTGTAGAGAAAAATCAAATAAATGTTTTTAAAATAAATACTGTGAAAGTGTCAGTATTTCCAGTGGCATGGAGAGCTCCAAGCCAACAATCCTGGGGAATAAACCGGGAGTTATTCTCTCCTCAGTATTCTTAGCAGTAATCACAATTTGATCACAATTGAGGGATTTATTTTAAGATTTACACTTTATTCATGCTTCAGCAATACATCAAATCTTTCCAATATTATATAGGCTGGGTGCACGATTAGGCTGTTGTTGGCTTACCTGTACAGAAAAGCCAAGTATCCACCAGTAGGGTCACAGCTTCAGAGCAGCTTTGTCGAGAGACTGTGCACACCTTCTGCCCTGGCACCAGTAAGTGGCTTCAGTTCTAAAGAAAACTTTCAAGATGGGGAAAACAGTGATGGGTGATAACAAACTATAGAAAAAGATTTGATACACATCGATTATGTCAACAAAGAACAATTTGTTTTGTCTGAATAAAACTAGTCTCATCAGACAGGCACTTGCCTATTTGGAAATACCTACCAAAGAAGTAAATAACTGTCAACAAGATGACTGTTTAAAGGGGAGATGGCCCTTTAAAACAGACTATAGTATGTAACGGAACAAGCCTCTGCATTAAGAGGCTGTGTGATCTTGTGCCTACAGGAAGAATCTTCAGAAGCCATCATGACATCCAAACAAATTTAGAAAAGGCACAGTAAGTACAGGTAGTCTTTTATGTAAGGGCATCACCGTTCGCTTCTGATCTTGTGACTGTATATCCTGTAGGACAAACACAGACAGGTCCCTCAGATCCCTACGGAGTCATCAGAAAATTACAACTTTTGAAATCCTTTTTAGCCCCAAACTGTAACCGCTCTTTCCAATTAATGTGTGAGTGCTCTGCCTACACAGATGGAGTGCAAACCTACTTCTTGAGGGCAAAGAGATTGACAGCACTAGTGAGGAGCAGTATAAATTTATTTAAATGAAAAAAGGAGAATGAACCTCAAGCAAGGACTCTGGAACAATCAGCATCATGGCCTGCCTTGGGTGAGTGGTGGTGGTATTTGTAGAAAAGCATCCTAGAATAGAGGGTGTTAGGATATGTTGATTGTTTTCTGTGAAAGATACCCATCAGCTCATATTCACTCCGTGAGATGCACGAATGAATAAATGTAATTATTAATTATTATTTATTCCTAACATGACTCCAGGCCAGCTCCCTCCTCCTGCAAATTAAGTAAAAGGATGGGAAGAAAGGAAAAAACAGTCTTTGAAAAACAAGCTCAGGGTGTGAAAGAGGAGGGGCAGGTGGCAGCGCAGACGCAGGGCCTGGAGGGAGGTGTTCTGTGACAGTATGTCAGAGAGGAGACAGGGAAGAGCATTCTCCCTGGTTTGCAATATGCAGCAATGCTAATTCCATCAGCAAAGAGATCCTACCGCATCAAATGAAGAAACTTTATAGCTCTCTGGGGAAAAATGTGTTTCAAGGCAGGGCATCTGAGCCAAGTACGACTCACATTTCATTAGGAGGACCATAAAAGCAATGTGCTCAGGCAGGTCTGCTTCTTGAATGAGTTTGGAGGATGCAGCCAGGACTATAAATTAAGAAGTTATTTACCACAACAGCATGTGCACATGTGTGCATTCACAGTTTAAACTGGCTCAAAAATTATAGAACTTAACTCATTTAAGGGATTTTAGAAAACATGCAAAAATTATGGAAAATTGTATGTTTTCCACTGACATCAATCTTCTTCTTTCAGAGAAGCACAGTATTGCCCAGCAAAAATCACACACAAAAGATTAAAAAAACAATCTAGAATATCTAAACTCTCATCCCAGTTCTGAAAAACCGAATTTTCACTGTGGCCAAGAAAAAGAGTATGATTTTTGTGCAACTGAACTCCACAGATGAAATGGGTGCATGGTAGGAATTACAAAGCCCACATACATGCTTGATTTTTATGCTGTTCATAATCACCCCACCTGTATAGCTAGAGCTTACCATGTTCCAACTAGCTACACATTTTCATGGTGCTTTCTTTATGTTTTATAATTTATACATGCTGCCAATCTCCTAAATTGGTATGACATGGATGCTGGTGAGATACACGGATGTTGCTGAACAACACAAAGACCAAATGGGAGCATTAAACCTCTAACAGTCCAAATTCTGGAAAAAAATTAAAACAAAAAACTGTATAAAGTAAGCATTCAAGTTCCTTCCAAAAATTAAGGCATTTCATAGAAATGTTACATTTGTTTTAAAGCCAAAATTTCTTATAGTAAAAAAAGGTACTGAAATGTGCTAAGAATTACTTCAACTCTGCTCATTAGTAACCAGACAAAATGATCATGTTGTCACAGAAAAAGTAAGTTCTGATTTTGCTTCAGTGTCACCATGTGCTATAACAGCCGCACATTTCCATACTCTGATTTGTTTGGATTTCTTTCAAATCTGACCTTAATTCCGAGTATTTCCTAGGTTTATAATACTTAGCTTGGGGATATTTACCACATACCTTTCATATATTTTGTCGGCAATAACTGAATGTATTCTTAACCTTAATTCCATCTTAACATTGCAAAACAGAAACAATGTACCTTTATTACACTGAAAAAACTCATGCACAAACAACAAGCAAGCAGCCCAGAGAATGCTACCTCGCAAGTTTTTCAAATGATTTGCAAATACAAAGTATGTTGATTCTTTAATAATTGTTTATTTTAACTTTTATTGCCCAATTCAGGGATACACTCTGGCTACTTAACGCTGTGGTAAAGCAGCACAAAAATAACACAGCTGTGTTGAGATGCACGTTCCTCTAGAGCATTGCTGAGCAGCTGGTTTGCCCTGCCCTGTCCATCTCCCATCCTGTCCTGTCAATCCCCATCCTCCACCCACCCTCTCTCCCCTTCAAACTCCACCTGTGCGTGCACACACCCACATCGCCACCACCTGCCTCTGTCCTGTCTCCGAGCCCACCTTACTCTGACACGCACCTGCACCCACTCCCTGGCATTCCTACACTGGGGTAGGTGGGATACACCAAGTGCCTTCTAAAAAGAACTACTTAAAATCAGCCACAACTTGCAGGCCATTTCTCATAAACTGATCACTCATCTTCAAGCAAAGGTGGTCATACCAAACATTGAAAGTCACCCATTTTTGGTGACTATCTGCTTGGGTTTTGTCACGCTTGAGGTCTTCTCCCAAAAAGGCCAACACTCCTTACAGTTCTTGGGACAGTGAAACCAAGTCCATAGTACCTGATTCTGCCAGACAGGAGGCAGAACATTGAATTGCACAAGGATGTCAGAGAGATGCCCAGAAACCTCAGACTTGCTGACTACTGCCCCAAATAGGCAGCTGCCACAGAACTGTCTCTGCTGATGCAGGAATTTCAATTAGAGAATTAAGAAAAACCTCCAAGCTGGCTTGACCACAGATGCCATGCTTTTTAAGAAATACATTCTTTAAAGCTACCTCCTAATGAAGAAAACAGATTCACTTGTAGGTCCTTAGAAAAAATTTCTTTATAAACAGAGTGCTTTAATTTTATGGAAGATCTTCGCATCTGCACCTGTAACAAAAAAGCTGAGCTCCTACTTAAAATGGAACATCCTTTTGTTAGCTGCAGCAGATCCCTTTCTAAATTTATTAATGCACTTCATTTTACCA